CCTGTCCTGTGTCCCCACCAAGACATAAACTTGTGAGTGTGTGTACTTCTGTCCAGAAAAGACTGGAAAGCTGTAATGAAATCCAGAGTCTTCTAAAACCATACCTAGAACGACCCCAATTATCACGACTGTCAGTTGAGTAAAATTGGCTGGTCTGATCTTCGTTTGTACCGGTGCCTTTGGCTAATGAATCTCTTGGACCTGAGAACCGGCTGAAGAGCGCTGTGTCGCAGAAGAAGCTGCCGTGGGTTCATATGCCAGAAATGCTTCACCCTGTGCCTTTAGAGTTCTGGGAGAATAAACCAAAATGACAGGAAATAGGCAGCGCAGATGGAAGTGTTCTCGATAAAGAGCTGCTGCGAGTGGAACTTGAGCAAAGGTTCAGTGTTCGTTAAGCCGGTAAACAGCTTGCCAAGAAAACATGTACAGTCAGTCAGCGCGTGGTACGGAATCTGGTCATTCCTTGGAAGCAGAGAGAACGTCCCTGTACTCACAAAGAGTGCAGAATAGAAAAGGTGGCTCAGATCTTGACAGCAGTGGGGAAAAGCGATTCCCCTGCCCCAAACCCAGTAGCTGAATTGTCTGCATCCTGTTCACACCTAGAAAATCTGGCAGTGGGTTGTGTTTGGATGGGAGCTACATGGGAAGCAAACTCTGTGAGGTTTCGGGAGCCGCAGTGCCTTGAGTCCGGCTGTTCTGAGGGCGGATCCCTAGGGAGCTGAACGGAGCATGGCTGGCTGCAGCTGCGGGAAGGGGCTTTGTAGTAATGTGGGAATTCACCAGTGTCTGTGCTCCATAGACATAGTCACAGTGACTTAGGGGTTTGTCCTCCGACAGGCGTGAACTGCTCCTTCCCTACGGCGTTTTGAGAGCACGAGAGGCAGCATGCGGCATCGGTTCGTTACCCAACATTCTCCTGCTGCACTGTTTATGTGCTTCCACCGTGTGCTCTCTGGCACACTGCTGTAAATAAAACTAAAACCAGACTAAAGTATTGATTAGTGAGGGAGGTATATGATTAAATACTTTATTGTATGTTTTGCGTATCCTGGGCTGGATCAGGAGAAGTGTGGCCAGCAGGGCGAGGGAGGGGATTCTGCCCCTGTACTCTGCTCCGGTGAGACCCCACCTGGAGTGCTGCGTCCAGCTGTGGAGCCCGCAACATCAGAAGGATATAGACCACTTGGAGCGGGTCCAGAGGAGGCCACGAAGATGCTCCGAGGGCTGGAGCCCCTCTGCTATGGGGACAGGCTGGGAGAGGTGGGGTGTTCAGCCTGGAGAAGGGAAGGCTCCAGGGAGACCTTATTGCACCTTCCAGTACCTGAAGGGGCTACAAGGAAGCTGGGGGGGACTTTTTACAAGGGCCTGTAGTGACAGGACAAGGGGTAACGGGTTTAAATTGAAAGTGGGTAGAGTTAGATTAGATATCAGGAAGAAGTTCTTCCCAGAGCGGGTGGGGAGACACTGGGACAGGTTGCCCAGAGAAGCTGTGGATGCCCCATCCCTGGAAGTGTCCAAGGCCAGGCTGGATGAGGCTTGGAGCAACCTGGTCTAGTGGAAGGTGTCCCTGCCCATGGCAGGGGGGTTGGAACTAGATGATCTTTAAGGTCCCTTCCAACCCAAACCATTCTGCGATTCTAACATTGCTGTCAGTGAACTGTCTGATAAGCAAATGGAGACGATGCTTCTGTGTCCAAGATGTTCTTTACCTGAATATTGTTGAGATATATATATATATATGTATTTATACTTTCAGAAACCTAAAAGCTATACTGCAGCAGAAGCAACCCTGAACATCAATCCTTGCTTAAAGATTGACTCATATATAAATAAAGTTTGTCCAGCCACTGAGAACACTTACAGCGATGAATTCTATACCAAGCAAGACGTGATTGTGACCGCTCTGGACAACGTTGAGGCCAGGAGATACATTGATAGGTAGGTTGTGGAAAGGAGAAGCGAGAGCTGCTTTTCACATCCTTACGTGAAGCCTGCTGTTCTATTCTTAGCCTTCCTGATCTGCAGCTGCTTCTAAGATGTGATAGCAGATTGCTGGGATGTATCTTGCTGCTTTATCGTGATGCTGCTGGGGGGAGGAAGCGGCTTAGGTGCTTGGTGGAAACCAGCTCCGCTCTTGTGCTGCTGCTAGTGGTCACGTGGCAGATAGCCTTGGAAATGGATAGATGTCAGGGTCTGATGGGGGAGAGAATACTGGGGCTGTCTTAAGGTTGAATTATTTCTGCATAAGAATGTGTATTTAAATTTATAAGTAGGGACATTTATGTTTAAAAAGAACTCGTAATGCTCCTAATCCAGGTAGGATTGAGGATGCTCAGGTTTATGGTATCCTGATGTAACCTGACATGGCTTTTCTTATTTTCTCTCCTCTTTGCCGAGTTTGGCGTAAGCTTTCCACTCTTCTGAGCGTGCCTGGAGCCAATTCCAGTTACGCTCTGGCACTGTCTGCGAGGCAAGAGCGTAGTGATGCTGCTGTGTTCTGATAGTCTGTGTCTTTCCATGTCAGTCGTTGTGTAGCAAACCTGCGTCCTCTTCTAGACTCCGGAACTATGGGAACGAAAGGACACACGGAAGTCATTGTGCCCCATCTAACAGAGTCCTATAACAGTCACGTAAGTGTTTTGAGACCATCGCTTACCTTCTGTACCTAGTCCTGCAGCGCCCTCGGGTTCCTTAATTGTTTATGTGTCTGTCTAAAAGAAGTGGCCTGTTTGAGTTACTGAAGGCCAGTACTGTAGGAAATAATTCATTCCTTGATTTCTGAAGAAAATATCACAAGGAAAGAATTTGAGCAGACTGAAGGTGTCCTGTCTGCTCCCCAGCTGATGACTGCACCTAGGCCAGTAATTAAAAGCAACTCCTATAGGAGTCACGAAACACAAGCTTTAGAAAAGGTCTTAATTCTGAAGCACTACCAAGAGCCTGACTCTTTTGGGGTTTTTTTTTCCCCTTGAAAACTCCTTTCTGAATAAGAATCTAGTCCCACAGTGGCATTGCAGACTGGTTTTGTACTTGTGGGTTTCTTCCTTAGAGGTGCTTTCTGCCTGCTCGTTCTGTTCCGGAACATCACTCCACAGGCAGGTAGGAGAAACACAGTCGTCTGCAGTAGGAACTGATCTGCCGCTTTCTACCCGTTCTGTTGGAATGGGTAGGGGGGAGGTGAGCCTGCAGACACTGGCTGTACCCCTCTGTTTAAGTTCGTGTCAAACTGCCTTTACGCGGTAGGAATTGACTGGTTGAGAACACTGTGAAAGGTGCCATGTGGACACAGAGGCAGGATTTTGAGCATCCTAACAGTCGTGCTGGGGTCCACAGAGGAAGAAGTCTTTCTGGCCTTGAGGGAAAGGGTGTATGTCACCTTGAGAGTGTCTGTGAGGGCAAACTGGGCATCTTGGAAAAGCTGGCTGGCGCTTTCATCTGTTGTTTGTGTTTCAGAGTTCAGGTTTGCTTTCCAGTGTTGAGACCGTTCTTCATAAACGGGGAGTGATATGTTGGTGTTCATAACACAGGCTTTGTTCTAAGCACAAATAAGTAACTTTGTGTTCTGTAACAGTGGAGTATTAAACTCGGGAAGTCTAGAAACTCTTGGTGCTGTCATCAGCAATAAACTTTAATGAGCCTGCATTTACACACAACTCTCCTTAATTACAGCGGGATCCACCGGAAGAAGAAATACCCTTTTGCACCTTGAAGTCTTTCCCAGCTGCCATTGAGCACACGATACAGTGGGCAAGAGATAAGGTAAGGGAGCGAGCTTGGTGGCATTCCGTAACTGAGTGTCTCTGGGGCAAGGTGGGGGATCTGGTGTACTTCTTACAAAATGCCTTATTTGTTCTTTCCATTTTCCAGTTTGAAAGTTCGTTTTCTCACAAGCCTTCGTTGTTTAACAAATTCTGGCAAACCTATCCATCTGCAGAAGAGGTTTTACAGGTAAAACATACAGGATTTAAACTAACGCTTTATGGATTTTGTTGCTGTTTAAGCCTGTGAGATTTGGGTTATTTTCTCACTTTATTCAGAAAACTTGGACTTATTTGGTCAGGTCATCAGCTGACCTTTCACAGGCACTGCTAGTGAGTGTATGGCAGGTGTCACACGGGTGTGCAGCCAGCTGAGAAAGGGGCAGGGAGACTTGAATTCAACTGGGTGATAAATCAGACTCAGTGTTAGACTGAAGATCTGTTCTTGTGAGTCTGTAATGCCATGGGGCTGGGTGGGAATAAGGCCAGTAGACCACAGCACCTGGGGAGAAACCCTGTGGAGGGGATCACACAAAGGGTAATATTTCACAAAGTGACCCTGTGTCTCCTTTTGCCAGCAATTCATTAAAAACCTGTTGACTGTTTGATTGGATTGGGAGCAATCTTGTCTGTTTTAACGTCGTATTTCTTCCTCCATCTAGAGAATAAAATCGGGGGAGAGCTTAGAAGGCTGTTTCCATGTTATTAAAACTCTCAGTAGAAGACCTCAGAACTGGACCCAGTGTGTGGAACTAGCAAGAGTAAAATTTGAGAAGTATTTCAGCCATAAGGTAGGTAAGACCTGGAAATGAGATGGTGCAAGACTGATGAGGATTTTAGCCCTAATAAGTCTTTGCATTCACTTCCATTTCTTCATAAATAATGAACTTTACTCAAAACTTAAAAATGCTGCACCCGTTCCTCTTTCTACTCCAGCGCTTTTAAGGTTTATGAAATCTCTCCTGGTTGTTCCATTTCTTGGCCGTTTTTCTAGCTGACTAGGTATTGTGTTTTTGCCAGAGCAGCAGGATTATCAGGTGCCTTTTACTAAGGGCCAGCGGCCTTTTGATTCCCCAGCTGAACTTTGGTTGCCAAACGCCTTATCTCTGATTTCCTCAAAGACGTCACACAAAAGTTGGCTGAAATCAGAGCCAGGCATTCTGGGAGTCCGGTCCACGGTGTTGCTGAGAATGCGTGTGCAGTTTTGTAGGAGGGACGCGATCGTGATATTGTGCATTAAGAAACAAACAGGATCTGTGCGTGTGGAAGACCTGGTGGTAGTTGTCACGTTGAGAAAACCTTGCATTCCCGATTGGAATCCAAAAGTGGCAGCAGGGTGGGGGAGCGCTTTGCTTGTTGGGTTAAGGGTCTTTCTTGGACTTCAGACAGATGAGGTGACACTGTCATCGTTGTCCTGTGATCACATGGGCAAGCTCTGTCCAGTAGTACGTGTGCCTCTCCATCCTGACGCAGGCGTCTGAGATCTTACCTCTGTAAATGACGTCAGCTGCGTATTGGAGTGTCTTAAGGGCTGGGTTGAGATTTCACATCATTACTAGAAAGGTCATAGAATCACAGAATGGTTGGGGTTGGAAGGGACCTCAAAGACCATCCAGTTCCACCCCCCCTGCCATGGGCAGGGACACCTTCCACTAGACCAGGTTGCTCCAAGCCTCATCCAGTCTGGCCTTGGACACTTCCAGGGATGGGGCATCCACAGCTTCTCTGGGCAACCTGTCCCAGTGCCTCCCCACCCTCTCCAGGAAGAATTTCTTCCTGATATCCAATCTAAACCTCCCCACTTTCAATTTAAACCTGTTACCCCTTGTCCTGTCACTACAGGCCCTTGTAAAAGGTTGATTTAGCGTGGTCGTGTCAGTCTGTATGCGACAAGTTACTGAAGCTACTCTGGCTTTGTCCCTAGGCTCTTCAGCTCCTTCATTCATTTCCCCTCGATACACGATTAAAAGACGGAAGTAAGTACAAATGCCCCTTTGTGCCTGTTGTGAATTCATGTCGTACGCCGTGTGTTGCTGCTCCCGTTGCCTTGGGATTTCATCTGACATCTGTTTTCTTACCAGGTTTGTTTTGGCAGTCACCGAAGAGGCCACCCTTCCCAGTGAAGTTTGAAATTAGTGATCCTTTGTAAGTATGGCTCTGCCACAGGTGTGTTTCACAGCATCTCTAAACCTCGCCCCGCAGTGGGAAGCGCAGGGCAGTGGCTCTGTAGCACTGGCAGTGCCAGTGCATGGTGGGCAGCTGCCTCCTACTTTCACTGCAGGTAATTTAACGTTCTCTGACGTGGCATTGGAGGCTGCTGTGGGAAGTTCTGGCAACACGTAACGTGAAGTGGCTTAGAACAACCCGTGTCACATACGGTGTGACTGCGGAGCGCCTGCGTTGTTGCTGTCATGCCCCCCTGCCCACATGGAAGGCAGGGTGTGCCAAATTAAGTTGACTACCTGAAATCACCTGGTGGAGGGACCCCTTTTTTGCAGCCAATTTGGGTCTGACGTAGATGACTTGGCTATTACAGATAGTTTAAAACACTGATGTGGTCGAAGAATTGAAAAGCCTTTACCTGCTGCGTGTCTACACCTGCTGTGAGAAACTGTCTGGCTCGCCTCTTAGTTTGGGTGAAAACTGAGATGATGGCACATATCAGAGTATTCCTGAGGTGAAGCTCTGTATTGTCATACTCCTGTCATGTGGGCGTTTGCAGTTGTTCTCTTGAGTGCGGAGGTTAAAGAAAGTCGGGTCGTTAAGTAACTCTTCACGCATCAAAGTTTGCTTAATTCTGGGGAGCACTTTGAGGGACTCGGAAATCTCATCCGCTTCGTACGGTGCGCGCTACGGGGCGGAAGTTGTGTTTCTCTGCGGGTGTTTAACGCCACCTCCTTGAATGTGATCGCAAACCTTTGGGCAACCCAAGGAAGAAGCCGACCAACCACACGCAGTCGTCTTCTCTGTTCTTCAGGCACTACGGTTTCATTGTGAGCGCAGCCAAACTCTTCGCCGCAGTGTACTGCGTTCCTTTCACGGAAAAGGTAACCCCTGCTGTGACGCGGGCCCCAGCCCCTCACTTGGATGGGTGTGTTCAGTTTGGGCCCGCTATCCGGTTGCCGCTTCTTTCCGAGAAGTGATCGAAGCGATCCTTAAAGTATTCTGTCCGTTGCTGGCTGTTCGGCAGCTGCTTACATCTGGTCATCTTTAGTTAAACCCCTGACCCAGAGAAGAAATGAGTAGTGTGCTGGGTGTTTTTGGTAAGCCCCCAGCTGGGGAACTCTTACCTCGACAGACCTGTTGTAAATCAAGTGTCTTAGCTGTGGCCTGGGAGTATTTCTTACTGCCCACACCCTCTCTGGTGTTACCCTTTGTCACCCTTCTCTTTTCTGTTTGGATCTTCCCATAAGTCACATTTCCACCTCAGTTCCCTTCCGTTGTCAAGCGCGAGGCACGTCATGCCGCTCAGCCTCGCTGGGGCAGCTGAAATGTCACTTGGCGTCTCAGTAAAACATCAGAGAATGTTTGTGGGATTTTGTGGTTTCGTTGTTGTTTGCAATGCTGCAGGATATAGAGTCTCCTTGGGGGGGGATTTCTTGAGTTGATGTGGATGGAAATTGCTTTTCTTCTCAACCGTAACAGGATTTGTCGGAGGAAACTATTTTGAAGATCATCTCGGCTGTGAAGGTACCAGAGTTCAGACCTTCAAACAAAGTAAGTGGGGTGTTTTCTTTAAAGAAAAAACAAAATCCGCCAGCAGTGTCCCACGTCTCCAACTGCTTCTTGCATCAATGCTGAGAAATAAACACGCGTTAAATGTGTTTTGGGGAAACCTGTGTGGTGTACAGGACTGCGTTCACTCAATAGAGCTGAGGTATCGCTGTACAGGGGGATAAATGCAAGATTTGGGGTTTTTTTGCCTTTTGCAAATGATTGGTTGTAGCATCGTTTTCTGTGCGTGAGTGGGAGCCTGCAAGCTTTATAAAACTTGATGTGAGTCTATACTATTTTAATAAAAGTAGTGAAGTTTTACTTACAAGCAACCTGAAAGCAATCCCAGACTAGCGCCGGTTTGCCGTTCCTCTCTAGGAGATACACAGGAAGTGCCGTTACATTTATGTTTGAAGTGTGAGCTTCAGGCCACTTCAGCAGCATTCTGCAGTGGCCAGCCTTTGTCATCGTTGAAAATCAGCAAATGTTCCGGGGTGTTGTCATGTTTTCTTGCCCAGTGTTAACACTTGTCTCCTGAATGCTTCCCCTGGGAGACGTGGCTGGTATTTGACTCGGAATCACAGGCTGCTGAGGTTGGAGGGGACCTGTGGAGACCAACCCCAGGACTCTGTCCCATTGGGTTTTGAATATCTCTGAGGATGGAGGGTCCGCAGCATCTCGCTGCTACCTGTGCTGGTGTTCAACCATCCTCACTGTTTGGGTTGGGGTGTTTTTGGGTGTGGGTTGGTTATTTATTTATTTCTTTAAAATACTTTCTGATCTGTCTTAAGGAATTTGAGGATATAGACTGGTTGGAGTAAGTCCAGAGGAGACCACGAAGATGCTCCGAGGGCTGGAGCCCCTCTGCTATGGGGACAGGCTGGGAGAGTTGGGCTTGTTCAGCCTGGAGAAGAGAAGGCTCCGGGGAGAC